GGGTTTAGTGTTTAGGGTGTTGGGTTTAGGGTTAGGGGTCTTGGGGTAGGGCTGTGGGGTGTGCAGTTGGGCCATCAGTTCGGGTACCTTTCCAGCTACGTTGCGGGCTTCGTAAGGGTTACTATTTCGACTGCTGCAGGGTGCGAGGGGTTTAGGGTTTTCCGGCTTAGCAATTATATATGGTTTGTACTCCACCAGGACCACATTATTTAGACACCTGGATCCGTATTTAAAGGCTTAAACCCTAAACACCCTAAACCTACAGCCCAAACCCCTAAACCCTAAACCCTACGCCCCCAAACCCTAAACCCTAAACTCTAATCCCTGCACCCCCAAACCCCGAAACCCTAAACCTTACACCCACCCCTAAACCCGAAACCCTAAACCCCACACCCCAAGCCCCTAAACCCTGAACCGTGTACCCCCAAACCCCTAAACCCTAAACCCTCACCCTACACCCCCAAGCCCCTAAACCCTAAACCCTGCACCCCCAAACCCCTAAGCCCTAAACCCTCAACCCTACACCCCCAAATCCCTGAACCCCCCTAAACCCTGAACCCTACACCCCCAAGCCCTAAACCCTAAACCCTGCACCCCCCCTAAACCCCCCTACACCCCCAAACCCCTAAACCCCCCTAAACCCTGAACCCTACACCCCCAAACCCCTAAACCCCCCTAAACCCTGAACCCTGCACCCCCAAGCCCGAAACCCTGAACCCCAAACCCTTTACGGTTCCTTTTAAAGGAAACCCTAAACCCTGAACCCCATAGCTGCCCCCCCCACCTCTGGCTCTGGCTCAGGTGCCACCGCCATCGCCACGGCGGCAGAGGCCGCGCTGAGCCCGGCGCTTCCGGGCACGAAGACTCGCCACCAATGCCAGGCTCCGCCTGGCTTTCGGATATTTTTCGGGTTTTGGATTTAGGGTTTAGGGTTTAGGGTTTAGGGCTTAGGGTTTAGGGTTTAGGGTTTAGGGTTTAGGGATAATTTTCGGGTTTGGAGGGTTTAGTGTTCCTGTAAAAAGGCGGCTATAGGCGTTCATTTTGAGGGATCTAGTGGGGTTCGGCAGGTTTTTTTTTTTTTGGGGGGGGTTGAGGGTTGCTAGCGTTTAGGGCGGAGGGTTCTGGCTTCAGGGTCGGGGTTTGGTCTAGGAGAATGGTCCATGGTTTAGGGTTTAGGGTTTAGGGTTTCGGGTTTAGGGTTTAGGGTTTAGACCTAGATGGAGAGAGGCACCTAGCACAGCAGTACAGCTTTGGCAAAACATGGCATGTCAGTATGTACGTAGGTATGCGTGCATGTATGTAGTTACGTATGTATCTATATGTGTATCTATGTATCTATGTACCAATGTATGCGTGCAGGTTCGTATGCATGTATGTATGTATGCATGCATGCAGGCATGGATGTAGGCAGAGTCTGGATTCTAGATGGGTAGACCTCAGATAGGTCGGTAGGTAGACAGGTCGGTACATAGCAGGGAACGTAGGTGGGTAAGTAGGCTCTTAGGCAGGTCTAAACCCTAAACCCTAAACCTTGGTTTCCCTAAACCCTACGCCCTAAACCCTAAACCCCAAGCCCTATAATCCTAATTCCTAAACCCTGAGCCCTATAAACCCTAAACCCTAAACTCTAAGCCCTATAAACCCTAAACCCTACACCCTAAGCCCTATAAACCCTAAACCCTAAACCCAAAGTCCTATAAACCCTAAACATTAAATCAAAGCCCTAAACCGCAAACCCAAAGCCCCATAAGCCCTAAACCCTAAACTCAAAGCACTATACAGCCTAAACCCTAAACCCTAAGCCCTATAAACCCTAAACCCTAAACCCAAAGCCCTAAGCCCTATAAACCCTAAACCCTAAACCCTAAACTCTAAACCCTATAAACCCGAAGCCCTAAACCCCAAGCCACATAAACCCTAAGCCCTAAAAGCCTAAGGCCCTAAACCCCAAACCGTTATTCGGATGCTTGGCGCCCGATCTCCAGGCAGCTTGCTCATGGCAAGGTTCTTCTTTCACGGAGTGGAGCCCCTTGGTTGTGGTTTTGGGGTTTGGGGTTTAGGGTTTAGGGTTTAGGGTTTAGGGTTTAGGGTTTAGGGTTTAGGGTTTGTGGTTTGGTGTTTGGGGTTTCGGGTTTGGGGTTTGGGGTTTCGGGTTTGGGGTTTAGGGTTCAGGGTTCGGGTCCGAGATCGAAGTATATAGTCAGGGCAGTATAGTACGGTATGTTGCAAAAAAAAGAGTATAGTACGTGCCAAAAAGCATAGCAGATTGCGGCACGGTTAGGGGTTTCAGATTGCAGGTAGACTCAAGCGTCTTATTTTTTCAATACTGGTTTTAGGCATGGGGTTTCGGAATAATTCCGAACAGAAGGCTGGCAAGCTCAATGTGAACACTCTTTAGGGTTTAGGGTTTAGGGTTTAGGGTTTCTGTTGAAAGACGGCTCCGGAGCCAGACTCCTTGGATGAGTCATCGTCCAAATCCTTGCGGAGACCAGCAGCCAAAACCCGAAACGGCCTAAGACTCCAAACCCTCGAAACCCCAAACCCCTAAACCCTAAACCCTAAACCCTAAACCCTAAACCCTAAACCCTAAACCCTAAACCCTAAACCCTAAACCCTAAACCCTAAACTGAGGCTGAGGCACGGCCTCCGTTGTGCTATGCGTAGCCGTGCCGCAGCGACGCGTCTCTCCACGCGTCGCAGGTCCGGAGCCGCCTATCGCGAAGGACCCGCGCGAAGCGAGCGCGCTGCGGCCGTCCAGTGCCGCGCCACCCAGCCCGATTGCTGTGGTGGCAATAGAATATATTACCCTAAACCCGGGGCGCAAGGGAGGAG